GGATGGGTGTCGATACAGCGTACACATATTCAGTAATCATTGCTCATCCATTTTTGAAATTTAACTTTTTATCTTCGCTTACTGCGAATATATAGCAGATTTTGGAATTGTTGCAAGCATTCGCCGAGTCTATCTTCGTTTGATAATTACTCAAATGACGTAATAGGTTAGCCGTAATGAAAGTGTTATGAATTTAGGAAAACCTCACCGAATAGAAACGATTCGGGTTTGTTGAGTTGGTTCGGATTGGGAGGATCAAGTTATGACAGCAGAGAAGTAAAGCCAACACCTGATCAGCAGCAGCTCATCAAGGTTCACTTGTTTTGAAGAGACATTTGGTTGTTTTGAAAGGAACGAAAGCATTTTTGATCATTTAGGTCCTTGAGAGAGCACACTCAATGAGATGGGTGGTTGAATAATGTTTTCATCGCTTTGAAAAAAAGCATTAGAATTGTGGCTAAGCATTGATTTGTGTTATTTGCATGGAGTACCTTATACAACAGCATTATCCGCTAGTTTAAGATAGCACAAAATGTGATACTGGAATGCCATCCGGAACAGCTGATCGTCGATGGAAAATACCTGACGTCGTCAGCTCTTACCGAATTAGTCAACGCTATCGTACAAGCTTCATCAGCTATTGTTTCGCAGTCCGAGGGAATGGCACCTTCACAACAAACGAAAAAGCTTAACGAACAGGTTTAACTATTTCAAATACTCATCACTTGTTGTTTCTTCGTATGATTCAATTGCATGTTTTAATCACCGAAACGATGAGTTTTTATGCTTATTGTTAGCAATTTTCAAAAATTCGAATTGTGATTGTATCGCATGAAATTACAAAAAAGTTGAATGATATTATAGGATGAAGATGCATTGGTATTGTATCTGGAACTGATGGTGAGTATAACGTTGGAAAACAAGGATCGATTGTCACAAATATGGCCATCAGTTCAGCATCACTTACAGTGGATCATGTCAACGTTCGGACGGAATCCAGTTCTGGTCGAAAGGGCTGTTGTAGGATTGTTGAGATTAGCAAATCGCAATCTTTTCAGACTGAAGGATGATATTGCTGAAGAAATTCTGCATTCGTTGGCTATGTTATTGGTAATCTTTTACTTTAGATCTTCTCTGATGAGAATTTTGTCCGAAACAGGAACGATTGAGTCATCGTTGTCAGTGATTGATAATCCTCAGTGATTATTGAATTGCTTACCCTTTCAAAATTAGGAATCGGATGGAAATTTTTAGCAATTTATTATATTCTCTCAATTACGAATGTCGATCAGATGGATTTTATGTGGAGCAATGATGTTT